TCTGTGTGTCTGTGTGTGTGTCTGTGTGTGTGTGTGTGTGTGTGTGTGTGTGTGTGTGTGCGTGCGTGCGTGCGTGTGCGTGTGTGTGTGTCTGAGTGTCTGAGTGTGTGGAGGAGGCAGAGCCAAACACACACAGACCAGGACCACACCGACCGGTCTGTCTCCTTAAGATGCTGGAATAACGGCGAGAAACGAGCATCTTTCGATTGTAAATCGTGACCAGCTCACTTACTGTCACCAAAATGTCTGGAAAAATAGACAGTAAGCAAGGTACGTGTTTGCATTTGTTTACATTTATTAATAATGTGAAGATGAACTTCAGTTAGCCGCGTTAGCATTAGCGTCAGACGAGGGTTCAAGGCCACTGACAGGATCAAAGCATCTTTATCTTATTTTTAATAACGAAACGCGACATATAAATGCCTTCGATGATATATTCGGGTCTTTAAATACATTCATAAGAGAATTTGGTATCATTGTCTACACGAGTGTGTCTCAGACAGCTGTATTTGGGTGTGGACGGCGCTGCTCAGCGCTGTTGTTGACTTTAGCTAGGGTAACTTAGCTGTCAGACTTCTCGTTTTCATCCAATTTCTCCTATATGCTGTTTATTTTCATATGTAGTTTGCGTTATGTGGCACCAGTTGTCTATATAGTGTTTGTGTTACAGTTGTGCTGCTGTCTGGCCCTTTCTGACCGTGTTTTGGTGTGTTGTAATGGTCTGTTGTCCACAAAATGTACTATTCTGTGTATTCAAACGTACTCATTATTGATCAAATTAATAATCTGAACTGGTTATATGACACATTTCCTCATATATGTTGTATAAGTGCTCGTATAGTTTAAACGAGCTTGTGACAAATGAGATAGATAGTTATGTACAGTCGAATCTATATGGGGTATACAAATATAAATATGTACAGCTATATATAGATATACTCTTTACCTGTTAACTTGAAGATTTCTACTCATGGTTTTGTGACTTGATGAAAGAGGTTAGTTACACTGACAAGTAACGACTACTACTGTCTCTTCCTTTCTCTGAGGTTTTAGAGAAGTTTGAGTAATTTACTATAGGTTAACAGTTCACTCAGAGCTTCAGATAGATAAACACTATTTGGATGTTACCTTATATGCCATGCGCAATATATTCTGAGATGCATTGTAATGGATGCGTAATGCTATTGCATCGTCTTATCATTAATAAATATATCTGCGTTTTATGTGTTTGTGTTTTTGTGCGAGGGGAATACTTTTGACAATTTTAAAGCTGTAATTTTAATAAAGCTGTTTGGGCTCTCATTCTGACGGCACCCATTCACTGCAGTGGATCCACTGGTGAGCAAGTGTTGTAATGCTAAATTTCTCCAGATCTGTTCCAATGATGAAACAAGCTCATCTATATCTTAGCTGGCCGTTGGATGAGTAATTTTCAACAAATTTTCACTACTCCTTTAATAAGTTTTGAATCACTTGATTCATGTCAGGCTAGATTAGAGAGAGTGGTGCAGAAACTGTTCAGTGCGAGTTTTGTGTTTTACTCTTCTGCACTCAGTGTACGTGTGACTTTTTATGAATTAAGCTAAATGTCTGTGTTAACAACTCTGTGAGGTTGCCAGCATTGTCACTTCCTTTCCCTGAGGGTTCAGAGAAATTTGAATCACTTGTGGGTAACTTCTTGTCAATCTCTATGGCCCTGTGATGTAGATGCTGGTTTGCGTAGGAGGATGTTGGCCAGTGTCTTCTGCTTTCAGACATCCCTCTCGAACTGTTCTTGTTTTAACTGGTAGAGGTGTTTGCATTATTTTAGTAACAAAAGAGTCAGAAGCTGAAAAGAGAAGTTTCTTTGCACTTTGCAAGTTTATAAGGTCATGCCGACAATATTTTTCTCTTCAGTTTTCTTTGTTACGTTGCCATTTTTATGATTTAAATATAGCCTAGAGCTGTTGTGAAATGCAGTGTTGCACAAATCTGATCAGTCAAAATTGTTTTCGTTTAACAGACAACTTTACTTTAATGAAGCTTTCATGCATTGATGTTTTAAACCCAGACTCTGTGTTTGGTAGTAGCTCATCTTGATGGTGGAAACTTTAGGTTAAGATGTGACCAGAGGTTGAGGACAGTTTTTGAAAGTGTGAAAGAGGGGGAAAAAACTCAGTTCAGAGGATGTGTTCGACTACTTTGTTTCAGAAGAGGATATGGAAAAAAAGAGGATATGAATTAGTACAGTTGCACTTCCCACTGCGTGAGGATCAAGAAGCGGATGGAAAGATCATGTCCTCTGAAAGCACATGCACACCTTATTAGTTTGCCGTGTTTTTATTAGCAGAGCGGTGCGTTTTCTTAGACAGTGTTTCAGGAAGTTGGCTCTCATGGGCAATTTAACCTGTTTAGATTAGCAGTCACATCAGTTACTGTGAGATAAGACAGATAAGACTTCCATCGTCCTGGGTATTTCCAGTCCTGCGCAATTTTAAATGCATTTACTTTCAGTAACCGCTGAATCTGCTGTTGTCTTTTATTTTTTTATTTTTTTATTAAGAGGTCAGATTACCAATAACAAATTTAATTGTACAGTTACAAACTTTTTGTTCCAGGAAATCGGTCCTAAAATATTAAAGGGGTCATATGATGCTTTTTTAAAGATCATTATTTGGTGTAACAGAATATGTTGACATGCTTTAATGTTCAAATACTGTACATTATTGTTGGTCCTCTATGCCCCGCCTCTCTCAAACGCTTCGTTTTCTACAAAGTCCCTCCTTCCGACAAGCGCAGTCTGCTCTGATTGGCCAGCTGACCCAGTGCATTGTGATTGGCCGAACACCGCAAGCACTCGTCGGAAATGTAACGCCCCTTACCATAATCGCGAGCTTCATCTTTCAAAATAAATGTAAAGACAGAGCCCGAAAGGGGAACAGAGTCTGGTGACAGACACAGTGATGAATATGTGTTTGCAGCACACAAGTCACGGTTAAGACAGCGCGTGTTAGAACGAGCCGTTTTAGGGGGGCGTGGCAGCATCTTAACTTTGATAAAGAATATCTCTTTGGTTTTGAGACTTCAGTCTTTGCAACTTCAGGGATCTTATCTATGCACAATCAGCTTGTAACACTCCAAAGAGAAAACTTGAAATTGCATCATATGACCCCTTTAACAATGACTCACCCAATTCCAGATTTTTGATTGTTTAAATCAGAATGTCTTTCCTGCTTAAACCAGCTGGTTCTGACTAGCTAGTAATTAGTAAATCATGTTTGCGCATAAGATGTAAACTAAACCCATAGTCTTTTAAACCCATAGATCACATAATTTTCACAACTTTCAAAACTGTAGGCTTAGTTTTTTTCTGAAAGTTGTTTCGTCAGCCTAAATAATGCACACCCAACTTTCAAAGCTAATATCCACAAAACTCCATTAAACTCACTTGTCAGATGCTTTCTTGTTTTTTCTGTATCATATGATTTGAAAGTTCACAGAGCGCCCTCGCAAACCCCGAGCACTTCATTCCTTTAATGTGTGTGAGGATAAATTGCCCCTAAATGGTTTTGTGGCCTGCACAATAGTGTCATCACTAGAATTCGTTCCACAGCGGCACGCTCCAAGAGAGCGGCAAGTCTCACTGTGACCAATTCAGTTTGTAGTCAAAGAGGATTTCACTGTACACAAAGGCCTGTGTCTCATCTCGCATATGTTCCCAAGATACAGAATAAGGTTGATGTCTCATAGGTAGGGCTGGGTATCATTCAAAATGTTTCGATTTCGATACCGATACCGATACCTTGACTTCGATACCGGTTCCTGAACGATACTTTTTTCAATACCAATTTTATGAAATCAATTTTAACAAGATTACATTATCTAAAAAAAAAAACTTTGGTTTTATTTTTCAGCTTGATTGTTTATACAAACTCAAAAACTCATCTCCTGAGCCACTGCACAAAGGAACAAAATGTAACCAACACTGTAAATCAGTGCAAAATAGTTTTAATAAAGCTCAAATAGTCTTCAGTTTGCACATCTGTTAGGCTACATTTACACTAGTTAGTGTTCGTTTTAAAACGCATAGCTCAAACAGAATCATGATTTCTATTTATTTTCCACTGATTTACTGATGAGCATTAGCAGCTTCCAGCACTGTCTGCTTGTGTTCGCTCTTCCATGATCGCTGCTCTGACTCAGAGGTAATAACATATTTAATTTCAGCAACATTACATGGCCAAAACACACATTAGATGGCAGGTCCGGATTTACCTATTTTCGTGACGTAGAAAAAAAATACAGTGTTTTCTGTCGGAATAAGCGCTTGCTTTCAGTCAATAAAAATCGAATAGTTCTTAAATTGTTTGAGAACTGAGAAAGACCATACCTTATAGTCGTGGCCACATAACCACCTCCGGGAGTGCATTATTTCTCTAATAATTTTAACGGCCTGGAGTCCCAACCACACATCAAGACATTGTTCAGATCATTTGTTTCAAGACATTTGACATGTTTCCATCCTGAAATCTCGTGTGGGTTGAACAAATTTTTTTACGCACCTCATCCCAAACCTTCCGTTGCAAATTCCAATGCGTCTATGCATCTCTCAGCAGCGTCTTCTAATAGCGAATCTTTAAGTTAAACTCCTTCATGAACCTCCAGCTCCCGTGCTACTCTATACTGGTGGTATTACAGTACCACGAGAGCTAAAGAGAGCAGACTGCTCCGTGCGCTTTCGAATCGCTCTCGCGGATGATCGATCTGCGCCGCGCCTCTAGTCGAACACACCGGCAAGTGCTGTAGGCTTATTGGCTCACTGACACTGATGAGATTAACCCCTTAGATATCGAAATTTGGTACCGAACGACAAGACGTTTTTCGATACTCGATGGTATCGAGGCAATTCGGTCGGTGCCTAAAAAGTATCAAACTCGAGACCCAGCCCTACTCATAGGGCAGAGAACTGGAAAGCTGCTGCCTAAATTACTGCAAGATGACATGAAAACTTTGGGTTAGTGTAGGGGTGTGAACCTACACTCTCACGGTTCGGTTCGATTACGATTATCATGTCATCGATTCGGTTCAATTCGATATCACAATGCATTGACGATGAACTGCATCCTCAATTTTAAATTTTACTTCACATGTATACAATTTTGTCAATAAATACATGCAGTCAGATATATGAACTGACGTGATTTCTCAAGTTAGTGGTATTACCCCCTGCATATGTGTTACATGATTTACACACAGCGTGTGTCTTCTCCAGGTTGTGCTTACCAGGTTGTTCATAAAAGCCGAAATGTGCCCAGATGTTGGCTTTTAAAGTAGTTGTAGCATTTTTAATTGCGTCTCGCCTCCCTCCGCCATTAGGCGCGTTCAATTTGAAGCGGCGCAGCGCTAGGATAAGGATCCGTCTGTTCTCTTATCGCTCTTGCGGTACTTGATGACATACACTGATCATTCTGCACAGCGGCGCTTCAAGCCGAAAGCACCTAATGTATGCTACCGCGACAAAGCACGTATGCGACAAATGACGTCAGAAAAGCGTCAGTACGTTATAATCGGTTATGGTCTATTACTGAACCGATACCGAATCGTCGCGATGCATCAAAGAAACGATTAATTTCGACACCCCTATAGTGTAGTTATGTTTAGCTAACAATAAAATGATTTAAAAAATGTAATCATTAAAAGATTTTGTTAATTGAAATAAAACAGAAATACAGTGTAAATATTAAATAACAAAAATGACAAATGTTGCTTAACTGAAATAAAATAACAAAAAAAGAGTTAAAACTAAAAATAAAAAACTAATGAAAATGACATGCATAAAAAATAATTACTAAAACTTAAACTAAAATAAAAAATAATAAAAGCTAATTCAAACTGTCAATAAATATTATAATTATTAACTGTCTATCACAGAGCTGTGTATCACAAAATGAGTCACTTTATATTCTGGTAACTGTGTAAAAAAAAAAAAAATATATATATAATAAAAATATATATATATATATATAATAAAAAGAAAATGTGTGTATAAAATATAAATAAAATACATATTATTATATATATAATGTTTTATTTAAAATATTTTATACACACACACACATATATATATATATATATATATATATATATATATATATATATATATATATATATATATGAGCTAATTCACCTCAAAATAATGTGTGTTTTTGTCTTCCTTCAGAATCCCAGCGTTCTCACTTGACATCATTTACAATGAAACTAAAGGACAAATTCCACTCTCCCAAAATCAAGCGGACACCATCAAACAAAAAGTCCAAACCACCACCAGAACAGCCCGTGAAGTCCCCAGAGAAGACTGTGACCAAGGTAGTAGATGATGTTAGCTTTATAAACAAAGCTTTTGGTCTGAAAACATGGGCGATCTGAAGGCAAATAAGCACGTTGTTATCTTTGGACGTATTGAAGACATTGGTTTTGGTGACACTCTTTTTACCACATTTAGAGTCTGAGTCGATTAGAGGAGCATGAGAAAGAAGTGGTCAGCGCTTTGCGGTACTTCAAAACGATTATCGACAAGATGGCAGTGGACAAGAAGGTCTTGGAAATGCTTCCTGGTTCTGCTAGCAAAGTTCTGGAGGCCATCATGGGCTTGGTACATCTTGATGGCAAGATACTGAGCAGGTAAAAATGTTTTTGAGCTTCTTGAGAGAATTAGTTTATTGTTCACCTTTCAAACAACATGTTTTCTGCCTGAACTGTATAAATATTTTATTCCCCCGTCCATCTGTCACCAGTTCAAAAGTGTCCTCCTGTCTCAGTCGACTCTATCAAAGTCTTGCAAACCTCATTCGCTGGTCGGACCAAGTGATGCTGGAGGGGGTGAATTTGGAAGATAAAGAAACAGTTACAACTGTCACCACTGTGATCAAAGCAGTGCTGGATGGTGTGAAGGTATTAATAGTCTATAGAACTCTGTCATGACTCGTCTTCTGTCCATTTTCTGCCCATATTCCAGCTGTATTTAGCCATGGGTTTTGTTCTTAGTTGATAGTGTTGTGTGTAAAGCTGACTTTGCCTGTGGTTTCTTGTAGGAGCTGGTTAAAGTCGCCATTGAGAAACAGGAGCACCCCTCCCCTACGACACCTGTCAAAATCTTGCCTCCTGTCGCCAGTCCACAACGGTAAATGCAGACCTCTTTGAAAAACATTATGCCTTGAGAAATTCTTTAAAATTGAGGTGGGTGATGTTGAAAGCCACCTTCAAATTCAGTAAAAGTCATCAGCTGGGCTGTCAACCTATAATACAGTGTTGTGTGTCAGTGCTGAAATGCTATGTCATTAATTTCTACCACTTTATTATGGCAGTGTTCCAGAGCCCCCTGTCGTTGAGTCGAAAGAAACCGTCTTGAATGATACTCCTACCCCTGCCGAGGTCACAGAGACCCCAAATAATGTCCCTGATGAGGAAGTGGCCCCTCCTAAACCGCCTCTACCAGGACTCAAAGTGCCTGAACATTGGTATGAAAATGTCTAATTAAATCTTTATGGCATGTATATATATATATATATATATATATATAATAATTCATGTAAAATAAAAATATATACATACACAGTGTTTTAATGTTATTAAATATTCTATATACAGTGGGTACGGAAAGTATTCAGACCCCCTTAAATTTTTCACTCTTTGTTATATTGCAGCCATTTGCTAAAATCATTTAAGTTAATTTTTTTTCCTCATTAATGTACACACAACACCCCATATTGACAGAAAAACACAGAATTGTTGACATTTTTGCAGATTTATTAAAAAAGAAAAACTGAAATATCACATGGTCCTAAGTATTCAGACCCTTTGCTCAGTATTTAGTAGAAGCACCCTTTTGATCTAATACAGCCATGAGTCTTTTTGGGAAAAAATAACTTAAATGATTTTAGCAAATGGCTGCAATATAACAAAGAGTGAAAAATTTAAAGGGGTCTGAATACTTTCCGTACCCACTGTATATATACATACATACATACATACATACATATATATATATATATATATATATATATACATATATATCCTAACCCTACTTTCTATTCAAAATTTAACACTAGAATAGTGCAAAATTACACATCAGGGTATTAAACTGCTTTAAGATATATCCTACATTTTGGGGTTTAAAAATGGCAAACCCTATAGAACAAGGAAAAAACCTACAGAAAAAGTCAGGCCCTGTTGTGTACTGTGCTCCTGGAAATTGCTATTTATTTAGTCTTACGAGCTTTATGCAGTGAAACAAGTCAGTGTAAGGTGGTACTGCACAAGGTGAGCAGTTTACAAGAGGAAATATGAAGTATGCTGTGTTATCTTATCGTGCTATCTTATCTGGATTACATGCAGTAAACAGTTAGAGATCACAGGTGTGATGTGGTTTGCAGCAGCATGTCGTGTATGTTTTAAGTGCTGGCCTTGGCTACAGAGGATTGCACAGACCTCGGTTTGTGGGAAGCCTAAAAGAAAAGGTGTGAAAGAGAGATATAAATAGTGGTATTCTTTGTAGGGTGCAGCAGCAAAGACTCGGCTTCCTCTAGCAGAGAGTCATTGACATACGGGCTGTTTTCTGAGAAATGAACTTAACAGTGTCAGCTCTCCACTGAAAACTGAAAGAGACAAGAAAGAGAGACAGAAACAGCAAGAAGGGATATTCTGATACCAAGTCTAGACAGGAGAGGATTGGGTTGTGCCGCTGGCATAAAGGAGAGTTTGCTTTGTACTCTGAATTATTTGCTGGCATTTCCATGTTTTTGGCGTGTTTCCAGACTTCCAACAAGTCTGTCTCCGAAATATAAGCTTTTTGTTTGAGATTATTTTGATGCCAAGTTTAGCCTACCACCTGGTTTGTTCACTCAGCAGCAAGTTTTTTTTGGACTATAATTTAAAGCCAGCTTGATTCTCAAAGGCACAATATGTAAGATTTTTTTTATTAAAATGTCCAAAAATAACTAGAACAGTGTTATATATTTTGCTGACTTGTGTACTTGCACTATCCCAAATGTTTAGAAATAATTCCAAACCCCTGTGAACTTTTTCCTGCTTTGGAACATGAAAGCAGAATGTTTACACTGCTTTTTCCATTAATTTCATTGTTTATAATATTAATAAGACAGCAAAAAAAATATAAAAAAGACTACTCACTGCTATTGATTGTTTACTTTAATAATTAATGGAACATTTGGAAGCAGTGTTTACTTCATTGAGAAATCTTTGAATGCAACATGCCATTATTTTAGTTTGTTAATTTTTATTTTAATACTTTGCATATTTATTTTATATTTAGACCGTTAAGTCTAAGTTGTGTTGTAGTGAAAAACCTCTCAACCACATTGTTCACATTGCTCACTCTGTCAAAGTGCTTGATGTGACAACCTGACCATATGAAACTATATGCATTCAGCATGCTTCAGACAACTTACATCAAACACTTTTTTTTCCACTGCAGCTCACTGTTTTTAATTAAAGGGGTCATATGATGCGATTTCAATTTTTCCTTTCTCTTACGCTTGAGGTATTCGGCCAATCACAACGCACTGGATAGCTGGCCAATCAGAGCATACCTCGCTTTTCAGACCAATGAGCTTTGTAAAAATCGACGCGTTTCAAAAAGGCGGGGCATAGAGGAGAAACAATAATGTACAGTATGTGGAAAATAATGTGTTGTTTTTTACTTTAAACCGCATAAACACATTTCATTGCACCAAATACACAAAATAATGTTCTTTTTAGCAACATCATATGACCCCTTTAAAACAAGTTTTTTTTAGAACTGCAAATGACATTAGCAGCCCTAATATCCCAAATGCGCTGTGAAGCACAGTTAGCTCAATGAAATGGCATGTAGATGTTTTCATGGCCAACAGTCTCTCGGCTCACAGCCGAAAATGAGTTTACATCAGTCAGACTGTTAAAATAAATGACCGTGTTAGGACTACGACAGATCCTCCAGGTGTTTTATAGTTTCCCTTCATAGCGAGAACCTTATTTAATCTCCATTCGAGCCTCTCGTCTGGTGAAACAATTTAAGACTTCAAGAAAATTTGTCTGACCTGGTATGCTGAGACTGGTTATTCAAAAGTTAATCGGTATTTGTAAATGTCAGCCAGACATAGTCTTCATTCACTATGAGTCAGTTCTTCTGCTAGTCACTCTGCTGTATGACTTCACTGTTAGCAGCTGTTTTGGGGGCGACAGAGCAGCTAACCAGACTGACTGAATGACTGATTTATGAAGTTGTGGTTTGTGGTTCCAGAGCTGGATTCCACTTTCGCTTTGCAAAAATGTTCCTGGTCGCTTAGGATTGGTTGCAGATTATCTTAACACAGAATTTGTCTGTAGGTTTCTTGATTGACATCTTGTATGAGACGTTTGGACGTACTAGCATCCAAACGTATCTGTTTGGATGCTAGTATTGGCTAAACAAACTCTCCCTTTGCAGTCCACCGGCTCTTCCGCCAAAGAAGCGTCAGTCGGCACCGTCTCCCACAAGAATTGCTGTGGTTGCGCCAATGAGTCGTACCACAAGTGGATCAAGTCTTCCTATTGGTTTCTGTCGACAGGTGAGATTTTGGTGTTCCCTTGATGCTCCAATCTGCAACTTAAGAGCCTAACTAAGTTAATGCAATGAAAGGTTCCTGAGTTATGACGTTTAAAGATAGCCACAGATAGTTCATCCAAAAATACATTTGATTTGAAGTGGGCAGAATGCTAGAGCTAACGTGCCGTAACTGACGAAAATAACTGTCATTTTTACCCATTTGGTCAAATATTGCGCTGCAAAAAGCAATACTAGTTTTAACTTGTCTATAACTTGGCAAATGACCATGGAATAAGCGAGATAATCAACGGCTAGCTGTGCATTAAAGGATTTTAAATGCACTTCGCTGCCTCCACGTCGTGCATATAAAATCCTTTAATGAACGTCTAGCCGTTGATTATCCCTTACATATAAGCTGTATATATAGTAGCTAGGATGGCTTTTGAAAAGATAGTTCACCAAAAAATGTAAATTCTGCTGTTATTTACTGATCCTAATATAATCTGTGGAGCACAAAAAGGAATTTGGAAGGACAGTTTAACTGTTTTTGGCCATGAAATGAAAGTCATGGTGTCCAAGACATTATTTAAAAAATGCTTTGATACCGAAGAGAAAAAGTCATACCGGTTTGAAACATTAAGGTGAATAAATATTTAATGTTTGATTGTTTCTTGAGGTTAACTGTTCTTAATTTCATCTGAAGGAATATGAGGCAGATGCCTTACAGAGGCGTTTTTCAGGAGGCAGTCACTCCTATGGAGGAGAATCACCACGACTGTCCCCATGTGGCAGCATCGGCATATTGAGCAAGTCAGATGAACAGCTGTCATCTTTGGAGCAGGACAGCGGACAGTGCTCTCGTAACACCAGCTGTGAGACTTTAGGTGAGTGTTTAAATCATTGTTGAGAAAGCTACTTTGAAACGATAGCTTGTCAGACTACACGGCCCAAGAGTGGTTTAAATATATCGATAAGTTTTATCTTCTTCTCTGTTCTGTCCCCTGCTTTACTCAGACACAGCGGAGAGCTACGACCCAGACTATGACTTCCTGCATCAGGACCTGTCTAGCATCGACCAGATCCCTCCTGCACACACAGGGGGTTGTCTGAGCCCACTCCCAGAGTCTCACAATGAATCATCCTCCTTCCCTGTTCAGCTTCAATCGATACCGCCTGCTCTCCCGAAGAAGGAACGGCGGCCCCCTCCGCCTCAGGTGGAACGATTGTACTCTCAATATGACAATGTTCCTGATGAGGACATGCAGACCCCACCATTCCCCCTATTTCCTTCAATGTCACCCTCGAACCCTAGAGAATTTATGGGACACTTTGGCCCTGCTGAGAACGCACACATCCCTCAGAGCCCTCCACCCCTGCCGGAGAAGAAGAGTCGCCATAGTGAGTATGAGGAATTCAAATGTTGTTTGTAGGATATCAAGTCAGTGTAAGAAACACTTGTCTAGTTAGATCTGACAATGTAGTGCTGTTGCACTTTGGGAAAATCGAGTTAAGACCCATTCACAAAAAGAACTATAACTATATTAGTGTCCACATCAATGCATGATAATGTTGCTGTTAATTATAAGCAACTGCGCTGCAGTTTTGTCGTCTGTCGTTTTAAATGTTCAAGCTCTTTAAGAAGAATAAATAATGGTTTATTGTTCATCATCTGGAAAAATTCATTCTAAAAGTGATTCCAACGTTTCTTACAGTTATGGGTGTAGACTTCCCTATAGAATGCCATCCTTCATAGAATTAGAATGATTAGTAAAACTTTATAGTTATCGTTCCCAATCACGTAGGGCTGGACGATATGGCCAAAATTTATATCACGATATATTTCTTAATTTCGGTCGATACGATATAATTCCGATATCGATATGAACACTATTAAAAAGCCTCATAAAAACGGACAAGAACGGCCACAACAGATGTCTGTACCTACAAACTTGTGAAAAATTAATTTGTCATCAAAAGCATGTTGCTGGAAATGGGTTTATTATTGAAAATGCAAACTGATTGTCTGCCAGCAGGAGGCGCTGTGAGAGCGGTGAAAGTGGAACTAACGGTTTCTCCAGTAATGCTGTAAACAAAGCAGCTCCGCTCATGAACGCTACTTTATCAGATAAAAATGCCATCTAAACTATTCTGAAGACAGTCGGTTCCCTTCAGAGATACGTTTTGATTTTGAAACGTGCAGTGCTCGTGTTTATTCAACGAAGTCAAACGCCACAAATAAATCAATGTACGTTATGGGAAACACTGGTAATGTATATCGAAATATCGGAAATGTGTTTAAAAATCATATCACCGTTATTGAAAAAAATTATATCGCGATACATATTGATATTGAATTATTGTCCAGCCCTACAATCACGTGCCCGCCGCTCTTCCATTTTGCTTCCTGTCAAATCTCTATATTGTCTTGTCTCAGTAAAGGCAAAAAAGGCAAAATTAGCACGTGTCCTAAATTGTAGTAAAAAGGTTGCATAAATTGTGAACCTCTTTTAAAATAAGTGAAAAGTAAATTGGCACATTTTATTTAACATAATATTTCATTTGACTTTCTGAGGTACAAAAATGGTTTTCTGAAGGTGCTGGGGGGAAAAAAAATGGTTTTTGGTTGTTATTGTTGTTAAGGAATAGTTAATAAAAAAATGAAAATTACCCTCAACTACAAATAGTAAAAGTAAAAACTTAAAAGTTGCCGGCACCGGTATTTAAATATTTGAATTCCTGAAGAATTTTAAGGTCTTTTCGTCCATTGTGATATACATCAAAGTAAATGGATTATTAAAAAATAAAGAAATGTAGGGCGGGGACTTGGTTCTAGCCATCGGTTGCTGATTGAATGGAGGTGGATCTGAATGCAAACTTGCAGTTAAAGGGGTTTAACGAAATTATTGTAGAAGTCTGGCACTAACCACCAGAGAGAATTCATTTCATGTTAAGATGAAGTTATGACATTTTGATTTAAAAATGATTAGGTAAAAAAAAAAATAACTATGCACCGATGAATCATTCACAATAAGATCAATAACGTGCATTTAGAAAATAGGGTGAATTTTAATTTCATGCCAACTTTATAAGCAGCATTTAATCTTCGAGTACTATGACCAAACAAGTAGTTCAAGCCTTGGGTTTTGTCTTCAGACTAAGCTGTTTGCACAGTTCACTTAATTCCTTGTGTAATGTGTGCGAGGTATGACGCAGTATGGAAAAGCCAGTTTTTCTCTGCAAAGCCCCTCACTGTTGGGTAAGGCTGAATGTCAGCTTCAGTGTGAGGTCAGATGGAGTAATGCCTTTGTTGGAGAAATCTCTGACTGAATACAGTTCAACGCCTCACTCAAGCTGGCAGGAAATTTGCTCTTGCTGAAAGACTCTTGTTTGGAGGGAGGGACAATTGAATCATGTCGTAATTTGCCCATGAGCTGTGTGGCTTGATAGAAGAGTTTATGAGAGGCCACACAGAGGATGCTGAACTGTTTTTCTCTTTTAAATTTTATTATCTCAGAATTACAGAGCATTGCAGACATGTTCAATTTGTGGGATGGGATGAATTAAAAAATATAGGCAAAGATGCTTTTGTCTCTATGTATGCAGATTTAAAAAATAAATACATATTCAATAAACATAAATATAGATGTAGATAAATAGGTACTTTAAGTTTATAATACTGTAATATATGTACATAATGGTTTATTTGAATATTTTTTATTATTTTTATTAATTGTACATTTATTATATCAAATGTAATTCATTCATTAATAATTATTATAAAATTATTGTAGATTTTAAAACTAACAATTTCTAGAAATGTTATACTAATACATTTGTATGCCTGCTGTTTCATACAGATTCATTCTATTTAGCAGAATATTGATATATTGAGTATTCATTTGCACACAAGAGTCTGCTTAATTTCATAAATAATTAAAATAAAATGCTAAATTCACACCATCTCACAGTCTCCGAGCCTCTTATGTGCTTGTGTTCACCACCTGTCTGACTGTGTCTTGATTTAACCTATTTACTTTTTGCCCTGTTTACCCACAGTTCTGAAGTACATGCAGTTTATGGAGGACTATTCTGAGCCGCTGCCTTCCGTTTTCTACCAGACACCTCAGAGCGAAAGCATTTACGAGCAGCGCAATAGGAAGCGTTTTCAGGAAGTGTACGGTCTCAGTGACTCTTTCAGCAGCAGCGACGAGACCCTCCCTCCGCCAGCGCTGCCACCCAAACAGAGACAACTGGTGAGAGCTAGATCACTGCCGTCAGTGCTGCGCCCACACACACTGTACACACTTTTTGTCTGTCTCATTCTCACCCTCCTTAAATGTTGATGCAATGTTTTTCCTCCTACTGAGAGTCACCATTAATCATAATGGTAGCGGTGTTATATTTCACGTAGGGTCAGATTATTGCTTATATTAAGTTGCTTGAAGCAAAGCATTCATTCTCTGTTGGTCTTACTGAAGTTCAAGTGTTGCCTTGGGCATTCAGTGTCATATTATACCAGTAAAAGTACGTCTTCATCTTACATCATACATTTTCTCATTGCATGTTGTGTGAACATGTCTGATGTTCATTCAGCTAATGCCTATGAGAAACGGCTCAAATAAAAATAAAATGTGGTAACATCCTTTAAATCTTGTGCTATTCGTGGATGCGTGTTGCACCTGCTGCTCTGCACATTTTTTGTGGCATCCAAATGTTAGAAACTAGCGACTAATATTTATTTTTAACAAGGTTCTTGGTTATTTTTGTGACACATTTTAGAACAGAGACTTTTTTTGGTGATTTTCTAATGCAGATTTACAAAGAGATGATTAAATGCATATAGGACCCAGAGGGAAGTCTGACAACCAAACAGTCGTGAGAAAAAAGGCAGCTAGACTCTGACATGTAAATTTACATAGAAGTCTTGAAGGCACAATGCAAGTGTTAGAAATATAGTTTGTTATATTATACTTAAATGTTTATAAGTGGGCACCAAGGGAGAAAAGTATATAAAATAGAAATATAATGCTATATATTTATATGGGGTGACTTTAAACTGGAAACAGTATCTAAATTGCTTTAAAAGCAACAAAAGCAGCTGTTTCAATCATAGATATATACATATTGTATTACATAGGTGCCTCATTTGCGAATGTTTCTATGGGCCGCGATACGCAAGCCGTCTGCCATTTTTGGAACTGTCTGCGAACCTTTGAGTGCGTTGACTGTGTGCGTCTACAACAGCCAGTTATACGCTTGTATATCTTTAAATATTCATTGATCGTTATGGTGAATGATGTCAAGTTGACCTTTCCAAGATGGCGGACGCGTCAACATATCTGGAGCGGTCGAATAAGGCGTTTATACATATCTATGGTTTCAATGCTTTGCACTGTTCTTGCTTTTGTCCTCATTCTTGTCTTGCTAACCCATCTACCTCATTTCATTTGACTTGGTTTCCACTGTTTTCTCTCCCATTCCACGTGACTGAGCAGAAGGATTCACTGAGGTGTGTTGCTTAGTTTTAAGCTCAGGTATAAAGTAACCTTATGTGCTAGTAGCTATATTACCCACAAGTTTAGCCATTTGTTTGGGCTTTTAGTTTTAGTGATTTCCTGTTTTTGTTCCCACGCTCTGACAAGCAAGCACAAGCAGTTACCAGGCAAAAAATAGAAGCCTTTGTCTCCCAATATTTTACACAATTCATTCACTTAACATTGTTCTTTCCTGCTGCACAGTAAACTTCAGTCTGAATAGACGTCATATTTAACTGGATGTGATTAAAAATAGCATCCAAATAGGGCTTTTAAGGTCTTAGGTCACGTCTAATTTCATTTGCGTCACATTTAATATGCCGTCTACTCTGACTAAGGTCTATTTCTCCATCCAGCTCACATCTGCTCGATAATCTACTAAACTGTGCATGAATCTCTGGCCTCTCTTCCTTCCTCTGCTCTTCTCTTCCCTCCTAGGCTTCCTCACACTCTGCGTCTCCTTCCTCCTCCTCTTCCTCCTCTCTGTCATGTCAGCTGCAGCAGTGTGCGTCTGGGCCTGGCCCTGCTGAGACAGAAACTGCTCTCAGCCTTTCCGCATCTAACTCCTCTCTGAACCGCCAGGGCTCCCTGCCTGTCCCTACGGTGAGTCCCACTTGCCTTTCGCTGACCTCTTAACGCATTTTTCTTGTCTTTTTGGACTAATAAATTCATATCTTAATATCTTCTTTAAAGCCTAATTTAACAGCAGTGCTTGCCTATTGTAGAGGTTTAGAGGAATAGTTCACCCAAAAATGAAAATATTCAGAATTTTTTTTTAACCTTCAGGCCATCCATGATTTAGATGGGTTTGTTTCTTCATCAGAACAGATTTGGAGAAATTTGGGCTGTTTCAGATTTTAAATGGTGCTTTATCGTTGGACTGGAGTCGTGTGTATTGTTGTGATGTTTTTATCAGCTGTTTGCGCTCTCATTCTGACGGCACCCATTCACTGCAGAGGAGCAAGTGATGGAATGCTATGTTTCTCCAAATCTGTTCCAATGCAGAAACAACTCCATCTACATCTTTAAGCAAATTTTCATTCCTTTAAAGGGGTCATATGATGCGATTTCAAGTTTTCCTTTCTCTTTGGAGTGTTACAAGCTCTTGGTGCATAAAGAAGATCTGTAGCAAAGACTAAAGTCTCAAATCCAAAGAGATATTCTTTATAAAAGTTAAGAGTCAGCCAAGCCTACCTAAAATGGCTCGTTCTAACACGCCCCCACATATCTACGTCACTATGTGGAAGTATTAGCATAATGCTGCCCAAATGTTCACGCAAAGAAAGAAGGCGTGGTTTCAGGAACAGCAGTAGTGTTGATGCAGCCATGTCAGGGAGACGCTGTGTGTTTCAGTGCGAAAGCAAAAGCACTTTATTTGGCCTTCCGGAAGTAGATGCAATTAGGAATCATTGGTTAAGATTTATTTACAACAGAACAGCACAACCCAGATGTTCGAATTTGTGCAACGCATTTTATGGACGACAGTTTTTTTTAACCTAAAAGAGTACAAGGCTGGCTGTGCACAAAGGCTATTTCTAAAA